ATTGTCAAATACTTGTGAAATGTTCGTGGCTAGTCTGACGCGGCGTTTCGTCTCGGCCAAGAGACTCTTCAGAGACCTTTAGAATTCAAAGGCAAAGTCGTTGAGCATCACGCCCAAAGTCCCGTTTGCAAATTCTTGAATTGATAGAAAAGAGTTCTATGAGATAGCATTAGGAAACTAGCAGTAATAGAATAAAATCAATCAATCAATGTACCTACTGGCAAGACCAGAATTAGCAACTGTTCTCTGTTGCTGTTTGTAAAATGTTAACCGTGGCAACAGTTAAATTTTGTAAGGTTTTCCATTTAATTTGATTAATATATTTGTTGACTTTTGAAGTAACGAGAAATAATTTCATCCCTACTTGTTGAGCGTTTTCCCTGCAAAAGGTTCCAAAATTAATATTTTCCTTAAAAATCCTGAAAATCGTTCAGTTGTCAGTGTATAGCTCACCGATACTTTTACAGAGATTATGAAATGGAATGGGAAACAAATGTATTTTTATTTCAGATTGAAACGGAAAGACGATCAAAAATGGAATCTCGCATTACACAAGTTATTACAGCAAAAGTAGCAACAAAATATAGAACAAGAACTTTTATTGTCACTGCCTGTAGGTATTAAAATGCTATTTACAAAATCAATTACGTACTAATGAGCTAGATTAACTTGTGGGAATATTTTGTTAACTTCGTAAACAAGAAAATCTTGACATAGGAATGAAAAAACGTTGATTGTCTAGTCTTTATGGTACAGTTTCCCGAGTCCATTTTTTTCCCGATACAAAGACATTTTTTGTAGTATAACATCGGACAAAAGATCGTTTGCCTTCAAAACATGTCGAAAAAAAATCAACCAAATCTCGTTACAAGTGAATTATGTTTTCCGAAAATCCACGAAATTTCACCTTAATTATACTCTATCCAGTACATTTAACGTTAGTAGCATGAAATCCACCGCATTGAAGAGAGTTAATCCGACCTAAGCCCCTATGTAGGCCTTATTCCAAAGGTAACCTTGTCGAGTTAGACACGGTACCGCCAAGTTTTTCCGCGGATATTACCACGCGCGTTGCGTGGATGTTTTTCGTGGAAGATGAAAATGCGTGTAAAACCCCTTGAGCTGTCCAAGTGAACAAAATCCTCGTCACAGGATTGGCTATTTCTAGGACCTCCTGGGATTTTCGAAACCGTGTGTGATTTAAAAGTAACTTAAGAGGGATTCCCTTGGAGGATTATCTCTCTTACTCTTCATACCCTCTTGAAAACATATTTAGCAAATATATATTAAATAATAATAACAATAATAGTGAGATAAATTATCGTATTTTAAGGAGCATTACCTGTATTAAATAGCCCAGTTTTTTATCACAGTTCTGTCTAGTATGATTATTTTAAAATTTTAGTCCCCTGAGCTAGGCACGACTTTATCTTCTTTTATCCAGGATCGATAGCTTTATTCGCGTTACTTACGTCAAGTGAAATGTTAGTGTCAAAAATGTGGTGTTACATCAAGATGATGTACTGATCCTTTTACTGATTTACAGTCGAACCTCCACTAACGATTACCTCTCGGCAACGGCCACTTTCATACAGTCCATACATTCACTCTTATTTTAACTTCTACAGCGGCCACCTCTCCACAACAGCAAGGAGTTTACGAAACCATGACGGCAACGGCAACGGGAACCTCACTGAACAAAAGAATTAATAAGCAGTACAATGGCTGTGCACGTGCGTTATAATTCTTGGTACATTTCTCGCCGTCCGCTGCAAGACAACAAGGTTAAATGACCAAATTTTGTGTTGTCTGGAGAACGTGAACCACGACGGCTAATTTTTTAAACTTTTCTTTCGCTGTGTTCCGGATTTTGTTTTGCGATAGTTTTGACAGTGATAAACAAAGTAAATGACTTTAGAGTATCGCGAGATTCGTAGGTAAAATATGAATTCATTTTTTAATCAATGTTGTACTCCGCGTCGCCGTCGTGGTTTCGTCAACTCCCTAGTATCGGCCACTAAATCCCAAAATTACCTCTCGACAACGGCCAGTTAACCAACGACTGACGACCGTTGTATACAAAACCCCTTTTTTATTGTAAAAGGTCACCACATTTGATCTGAACCACGCGTCGTTGGTCTCTGTTTCTGTTTGGCTGATGTACAGTTTTGTTTACGTATTCATGTGCTTAAAATAAGTATTTTATTTTGGAAACAATGTTGTACTGCCTCCCCATAACGGCCACCTCTTTACAACGGCCACTTCCCTCGGTTTCCAAGGTGGCCGTTGTGGACAGGTTCGACTGTATTTATTTCATTGTCCCAGATCACTATAAATGTCGTTAAACAACAGTTGAGGAAATTTGGTGTTATGTTAAAATGTCTACTCGATGATTTTCTCTCTTCTCGTTACTTGTCTGCTTGAGAAAGCATTGATACTGTAGGGAAAATTTCGATGTTTACCTACGACTGGGAACGAATTAGTGGCAAAACCTGTCAGATATGCAGGGATTCAACGAACGAAATTCTGTTCTTTCAGGATTAGCAGCAAAAAAAAATTGATCTATAGATTTCGAAATCTTCACAAAAGACACTTTCTAGCATCGATTTTACAAGGCCGTCGTCAGTGCGAATCTTTCTTTCGTGATTGACTGGCTAAACAATGACTGACACACAGGCTAGAAGGTAGACCACTCAATTGATTATGTGCACGTCTGTGACTGCAAATGTCCATAATGCGCAGTAAAGCTGTGATATTTGTGTGGAATTACAAACTTTTTGGGCTGTTTTTTTTTTACACGTTCCACAGCCAACAGTCATGTCAAATAAATTACACAGCTCTGCCAGCTCGTCCCTTATCTTTAAATATCTGTTACTACAGCTTACTCTGCGATTAAGTTTTGTTTTTAACAAAGCCATGCAAACGAGGCGTAAGGGTCAACACTTCCGCCTCCTTTGCATGTCAAACCGCAGGTAACTGCTTAACAGTTACTGCTGCTTGGGTGACCCGTCTTCAATCATTCCCACTCTGTAGTTCCTGGAGGCTTTGAAGTCAAATCGTACAAAACTCGCGAGATGCCTTGAACCTCTTTTAAAGATGCAACCATCTCAGTCAAAACCTGAAAAATACCAAACGAAAAAGAAATGAAGGTCAGGACCCAACAGTAATTCAGTTCTCGATGTACGCAAATTGCGAATAGTACGAGACAATTTTTTTTATTCTTTTTCATATCTTCGCATCTTTTGAGTGGTTTTCGCAGAACTTTGTCAAATAATTTTGGTCTCCATGGCCGACCACAGTCTAGACAGTTTCCAAATATGTGTCGCAAAACTAAAACAAGAAATCAGTCTGACCAATCACAAAGAACACAGACAATCCAGCGAACCAATCAAAAACTCGAAGCGAACACGCGGCCGGCACCAAGCGCGGGAAAAAGTGCACAAGCGAGAGAAACCAAAGCCATTTTAAATTTCTCAGATAACCACTAAAGGCTAAGAAAGGCCTAACACCATTCGATAGTGTTTGGACTAGATTACAGACACGTAAAACACACATTAAGATTTAACAGCACTTTACCTCGATAGGTATTTGTTTTCCCGGTGTAGCAGGAATTCCAGTCATGAAGTCACTGGTGATAAACGTTCTGATCACAACTGACCGCTGGCACGATGGAATGTGGTCAATAGGATCTCGGTCGAAGTGGATTGGTATTAAAACAATGGGCATCTGGCTGAGTTTGGCCACTACACCTGAAGCAAAAACAGTATGATACAATGTTAACGTGGTTACCACAGACATTAATTTTCAAAATTCTCTGACTTTTCCCTGATAAACACAAAATTTTACTAACCAAATAACTTCGAAATGTCAGATAGTAGCCTACGGAAACCGTCCCCACACGAAGAGTTTTCTCCACACTCTGGCCGCGCCCACAACTGGAGCGAGAGCAAAAGAAATTGACGAAGCAGGGGGTGGTAGGGCGTCGATTTTTTTCAGATAGTGGCCCGTACGCTTACTCCATATCAGCATTGTCTTACCGTGTTTGTGAATAACAGAGTACGCCACGTGATCTGCCTGTCTCAAAGTGCTTATTACTCCATGTGACAAAAACGTGGGAGTGATATCTTGTATCTGGAACTTGATTCTCTTACCGAACGTGTAGCAAACTCTGAAAGAACAAGAAACACCAATATGATTACAGTGCTTATACAGATTAGGTCCTTTCCGTTTGGGAGCCCCATCAGATAATTAATGACGGCCTCATACGCGCTCCCGTAACCCTTGCAGCTTGTAGTGTCTGTTTATGTGGAGAGAATATGACCCTCGCAGGAGAGTTAGTTACTATCCATCTGACCCGTCTTTTACCGTGCGCTCATATATGGAGGATGACTTTTCTACCAAGAACAACGTTTCTCCATATCAACATTCCTTCATATGGCGTTTTCTAAAAACTAACTAGGCGACCAAAATCTTCCTGTGTAATGGTTGGTTTAGAAGCATACATGGGGTCGGAACGAACACTGGAAACATTGGATATCCCCCCAAACTGCTGATTTTAACAGAAGGTGTTGTTACCTGTTGATGTTATGACACACTTTGGGAATCAGTTTCGCGAGAAACATAAGCGATTTCCAGTCGGGTGAATCGTTGCTTGATAGAGCGACAACATAACTGTATGTCCGTCCGTCTCCCTGGACACCCACTGACTTGATTGGAAGGAGAGTGGCGCCAATTTTGTATTTTGATGTTATCTGTTGCAGAGTTTCTCTGTCGTCTTCTGTTGTACTGAGTTTGACTCGACTGAACAGCGAATGTGGCTACACAGTGAACAAAGAGATGCAGTGTTATATTTAAACTGTAAATTCAAGTTAGCAAATTCCTGGTTTTTCTTTGAAGTTCATGAAAAAAGCCACGAACAGCGATTGCAAAAGACCTCTCTTCAAGTGTGACAGAATTTTTCTTTCCTGTTAGCATGTGCAAGATAACCAGTTTATACATGTACAACTACTAAGATGGTTTGTGACAACAACAAGAAATTGCTTTTTTTCGAAACATCTCTTATGTTGTCCTTTGTTTATGAGATAAATAACGTTTGCATTTAAAACT